GGAATGAAATGAAGACAGCTTCAAGCAAAGTAACACGTGATGCTCAGGCAGCTGAACTGAACTTGAGCAAGGATGTTCAAGTAAGAGTAAGTAAGTAAGTGTGAAGATGGGTCTTCTGGCACAAGGTTGTCTGTAGTCCTGGAAACACAATCCTGGAGGCTCCCATGGGTGTGTTCTGGAGGCTTTGTAACTGAGCCCAAGTGTTACCCAGAATGGAACTTCCTTTCTGTTTCCTGGACTCTGGGACTTGACACCAGCACCTATGTCCTCAAACCTCGTTCTCTACATTATTTCTCCCAAAAGAAAACTCTGTGTCTTTGGCTCACCTGGTGCTCCCAGAAACAAGGAAGCTGGGGACACCTGAGGAGCCAGCAATCGAAGACCACAGGAACCTACAGACACTGGCCAATGGGCTCCACATGACTGGGCTAGCTCAACACCCAGGCTTGATTGATGGGCTCTATTCACAAAATCCTCAGGGGGATAGGCAAACGCTCAAAGATTATTTTTTTCCACAATTGTGAATTGTGCCTAAGAAGGCTGAACTATGAAAGATATTATCTGCCAGTGGGAGTTACCACTACAAAATATATACATATATCAAACCGAAGCATTTTTGAAAGGCTACTTGCTGTGAAAAATGTACTTAACCAACCTATATGCATATAGGAAGTCTATTAACACTGCCATCTTTAATTACAAAGATGAAATATATGGATAATACATTAAAATCCTATTATACGCCATTAAATTCCTTTGCATACTTTAAGAAGAAAAATGGAGATCATATGGTAAATTAGCAAAAGTACAATATGGAAATTTAAATCCACACAGAGTCTGCATATCTAATGTAAAGTCATATTAGAACCTGATCTTCTATGGGGTAAACAATTTGCTTATAACTGAAGAATTCCTGGACTTCTGGTTTAAACTCACACGTCAACTTTCATTTGATGATTTTGCTTTCACTTGTTCAAGAGTCTGCCATCGTATCCTTGCGTACGTTCGTAGTTTTAAATGTCAATTATCTTGCAAAATTCTAAATAAATCTCTTCAGCCAAGTTGGAATCATGCAGGAGGTTAAAATGCATTGTTTGACCCTCAAAGCAATAACATAAGATTTCAGAAGGGAAATCCAATTATTCTACGCAAGGAAGAAATAGCATCTCTTTGAAAAAAAATAATTCAAAAATTTTAGGATGTGATTGAAACATAAGAAAAGCAAAAGGTTTTTCAAAGTTTTAAATTGCCAGGTTGCCAGCTGAGGTATTGGTTTTCTGCAAGCCCGAGGTTTCGCTGATGGTATATTTATACTGGGCACAGCATAAGAGAGGACTTACAGATTCTCATTCATACACTGTCATAAGGATACAAAAAAAGGTTTTCCTTTTCATCTCATTCTCACGTTACTTATATTTTGTGTTTTTAAAAAAACACAGTCAATGCAAAATATAAAAACAAACAGTGGTCCCTGCATCGAGGCAATATGGATGAGAAAAGTATAAATACAAAGTGAGAGAAATGTATACTTTAAGGTTTTCATAGAACCATTAATTCTCTCTGCACATATTGTAAATATTTAGGATTATCAGTTAAGCTTTTAGATAGACATTTTCTTAACAAGAGAGAAAAAGTTGGGTGTATTCATATTTTGATAATAACCTTAACTTTTCTCTCTTTTGAATTATGCTATTTGGATCCAAACTGAAAACTGCATCAATATCGATCGTTATAGTTAATGAAAAATAGCCCTGCTATTATTATTTCATAACTAACAGGGTTTGGGTAATAAGATTTCATTTAAGTGCGTTTTGCTGCCCAATACTGTTACTAGTCAAGGGATTTTGCTATCTCCTGACATGTATAATGCTGTCATTCCGGATGTCTCAAACGGCTGCCTACTTTACCTCCAAACGATGTGGTATGAAGTGTATCAAATGATGTCTACCAATCCATGACTCTCTGAAGAGGAAGCCATCAGAGACTCTAGGAACAACATCTTCAAATGAGATACCCTCAGGCTTGATTTCTAAGCTGAGGGTAGATACACAATTTTAAAATGTTTCTAGAATAGAACGTTAAGGATAGGAGAGGCAGAGTGCGTGGATGTGTGGCATGGAACGAGAATGGAGGAAGGTGAGAGGGCAAGCTGGGTTGCAGGAGACTCCATTGCCCAAACCATCTTTAACCAAAATGGAAGGGAGTATTTATATCTTTAGTTCACCCTGGGATCCATGTTCTCCTGCAGAAGTCAAAGGCCTTCCTGAACTTTTCATGGAGATGTGGGTCCATCCACATTCAAGACGCCAAGCCAGAGACAAACACAAAACTTGTCCACCCTCGCCCTTTGCCCAGGCCCTTTTAACCTCTGCTTCCTCCAGCCTAGTTGAAAACAACATAGAATAAAAAAGTTGAAGGAATCATCTCTTTCATTTTCTTTGGAAAATGGAACATTATTGATGGTCTGCCAAGGGGGATAGTAGCATATGAAGGGCAGATTTCAGAGAGAGGTTTATAGTTGATTCTTGTTCTCTCTCCATTTCAACAACCACTGTCCATTAATCCCTGCCCAGGGAGTCTCAAAAAAAAGCATTAGTGATATAGGGCATCTTACAGGGGTTATTATATTTTTAAGGGCGCAACCTAGTTCCTCAAAACCATTGGCATCCTTAATCAGTGTATTTCTATCTTCACTGCCACCTACCTGCATAAACATGCATGCGTGTGCACACATGCACGTCCTCTAGAGAACTTACTGGAGCACCTCATTGTGATGATAGAAGGTGGGGTCCTAGCTACACTGAAGATACGATGTAGAAACTAGGACAAGCTTTAGCTGCCTTTTCACGGATCCTCACACTACTCCCCAGATCCCACTAACCACACCTCTGACACACTGCCTGTCTTAAACCTCTTGTATTCAGGGTCTTTCTTTCAGACACAATCACACCCAATATCAGTCCTCTAGAATCTCCATATACTTTTCTTCACCTTACACATTTCTTTGGTGTGACAAAGACTGGTTCTTTGAAACGGTCTTGGACCAAAAGAAATAGAACAAAAACTACCCATGACCACGACTGCTTCCCACATTGATGGGAGGATGTGGACAGCTGGTGGAAAGTCCACCATTGTGCCCTTCCTGTCAATCAGATATTATAAATGTGAAGACAATGTGGCCTCTACATCTGTTGCCTTAGTCAATATCAGGGCTGACGTGGCTGATCTGCCTGGTCTCACCACTCTCTGGAAACTACAAGCTACAACGAAGAAGACAACCTTCCCTGAGAGAGGAAATATTGGTTGTTGATTAAGGACGTACAGGTACTATGGATACTACGTTAAAAACCTGAATTAGGGGCTGGCCCCGTGGCCGAGTGGTTAAGTTCGCGCGCTCCGCTGCAGGCGGCCCAGTGTTTTGTTGGTTCGAATCCTGGGCGCGGACATGGCACTGCTCATCAAACCACGCTGAGGCAGCATTCCACATGCCACAACTAGAAGGACCCACAACAAAGAACATACAACTATGTACTGGGGGGCTTTGGGGAGAAAAAGGAAAAAAATAAAATCTTAAAAAAACAAAAACAAAAACAAAAACCTGAATTAATTTATAACTGTGATAGTAACAGAGATTGGATTAGCGGTTACCAGAGGGGAAAGGGGGAGAGAGGAGGGCGAAAGGGGTGATCAGGCACATGTGTATGGTGATGGATTGTAAGTAGTCTTTGGGTGTTGAACATGATGTAATCACACAGAATTCAAAATGTTATGATGTACATCACAAATTAATATAATGTTATAAACCAATGTTAGCATGATAAAAAAATTTATAAATGTGGGGCACAGCAAGCTCATTTACCTCCTTGCCTCCTGGCATATCTGGACACTGAGGTTTACCATTTGTGATTTAAGGGCTCTTTTCTCAACCATGTAGTTTAAATAGAGTAGTTTGTGTATATGCAGGTGATCTATCAAGCCAGTTACTCATGGGGACACTGGTTGAGGAAGAAATGGAAGGCTTACATTCTGAAATGTTATCAGAGATTTTATGGGGAGATGTTCCATGCCAAATATTTGGATAATGGAAATTTTTATATATCTAAAATGTGTTCAATTTCCCTCAATCTGATACACAAACTAAACAGCATGTAGTGATGGTACCAGAGTAATAGATGAATCAAAGTTTAGACAAGACCTAGACTGGTTCTCTGTTGAGTTTCCTAACAGTGAAATAGCTCATGCCCTCCCAACCTACGGCCCAGTGATAATCAGTCAAGCCTGAACCTGCTCTCAGGCTACCCTAGGAGCAGAAGATGTATTGGTTTTACCAACACAATGCTAACATATAAAATACCAAGTGAAACAGGTATTTTCTATCTCTACTTGGAAATTCATTCATTTATTCCACAAGTAAGGCTTAAGTATTAACTATGTGAATGCATTATTCCAGGTGCTGAGGATATATCTACCATGAACAAAACAACACCAAAGATAACCCCTGCCGGCTACTGTAGCACTTACTTTCTAGTGAGATTCTAAAACACAGTTCCTAGAACTTTAGGAAGGCTCTTCTCATTTTCTTGAGGTCTCAAATTTCTGAATTAGAGAAGGGATGCTAATGGGGAAGTTTCTGAGCTGGGCTAGAGGGAGGGGCAAGTAACTATTAACATACTCTTTAGTGTAAGAGGAGAGAAAGTCAGGATGCTGACTACCAGTATCCACTACCCCCATCTGATATGCCTTGGGTTTATAATAGTTACTCCATGTCTAGGCATGTTCCTAGAGAGAGAACAGTTGGATAATGGTGCTGTAGAAATAATTACAACTTTTACTTATACCACAGGTGGAGGCATTTCTCATAAATGGGAAAGTTACTTATTAACATAATCAGTGATCATTATGCAGTTGGGTCTTATAGAGCTATGTCTATGGCACCAAGACTCTTAATGTCAAGGTAACATAAGCTATGGCCTGAGAGGCTAAGGCCACGTGGCTCTTACCATGACCGAGATGTGGAGGATCCTCAGCTCCTCTTCTGCTGACTCATGCTGGGGTTCTTCAGTCGGGTCTTGTCCAGGGAGGCTCGGGGCGCCATCTTGGTGATGGATGTGAAAAAGCAAAGTGCCGTTCTCTAGCCACTGCTGCCTCCAGCGCACCAGAGGGATGTCCTCCGTGTTCCCTGAGATCTCTAGAGGACATACAACAAAAGCACAGGTCAAAATTCTGACTGCACCGGTCCAGATCTTCTGTTTCATCTTCTTCCCAGACACTGGTACCAATTTGCCAGCATTAGGTGAAGATAACAAAGGGTTCCAACGATAGTTAGGTCAGGCTTACTGCTGCTCCAAATCTCAAGGAAGGGAGGAGACCCTGAGAAGAGGAGAATTATTCCCTCTAGGTCTTTGCACTATAATCTAGTGAGCCAGGCTCTCACCCATTGAGAAAAATACCAAGGTGAAAATTCAAGTTCTTCCTTATATTTCTATGATCGATAGCATCCTTTACCCAGCACAGTTTGAATACCCTGATAACCCCCTGAGGTAAATACAAGGTTGTTTGCCTCTTGTAAATTTGAAAGTGTGAGTCCCCTAGCAATTACTTCTAGACACCGGTGAATCTACCAAGGAAGGAGTTGGTAATTACTGTGCACAAAACTGGCACTTACAGAACAGTCCTGGGAGGTTAGCAGAGCAACTAGGGCTGACAGGTTATTTCTAAAACCACAATCATTTGCTGCATAGTCCACTGGAGATGTTTGATACTTGCTGTGGCAGGGAAATTAATGTTTTAATTCCCTTTAATTGTTCTTTTCACTTTTGCAGAGCAGAGGTGGCACACGTGGAGAGGGCGGTGATGAAGGGGGCCCTTATCACAGACACAGGCACTCACCTGCTCCCAGGGCCTAGACCGAGGCACTGGACTATCATGAACAAATTACTAACAAAACACCAAAACCCTACTATGTGCTATGCACAGTGGTGCTAGCTGGTGTTGCAGAAGTATACTGTTACGTGACCCTCTCGCTCATATTCCTAAGCAACATCATATCAAAGCTTTGAGACATCCCACAATAGAGAGACCTGATTAACACAGCTTTTCTGAACTTCAATTGGCCCCCAAACCATTTTTTTTCTTAACAACTATTACCACCCTCAGGAACCAATATTTTGCTAAACACTTTGGCAAGGCATTGATTTATAAAATTTCATTTTTTTCCCAAAGGCATGGCTTCTTCTCTCAAAATTTATCACCTTTGGCCAAAAAAATAATAAGTCCATATACATAAAAAAGATTTAATAAGACACATTTAGAATAGTATTCACATCAAGTACCACAATCATAAAGAGGAAAGCAATTTTAAATATTTATGGAGTTTATAAATATCTTTCACTATTTGTGGGAGGGCACAAATGATGTTCTGCTTTATTTATTTACTTGTATATTTATTCATTAATTTACTTAACAGACATTGGGCATGTATTATGCACCGGGCACTGTTCTAGCCACTAAGGTACGAATCTAAATGAGGCTCTCAACAAGTTCTCAAGCAACCCACTGTAAATGAACGTGGTAAGTGCCACACAACGTGCATAACAAAGTTTTATGGGCATATAGAAGAAGGAAAGAGGAATCTTGGGTAGATGATGGAAGAGGGGAGGATGGTAGCCTTTTCAGAAGAAGATAATAATGGCGTTGAACCTTGAACTGTGAGTGAATTTCCTTTCAATAGGGAGAGGACCAGGGAGAGGACATTCAGACACTAATACGAGAGTAATGATGAGGACGAGGAAGAAGAATATTGGCTGGTCCTCTCAGGGTAGGTCAGTGAGAAGGATCTGCGTGAGCCTCAGGTCATGAGCCTGCCCTAAAAGACGTTGCTATCATTCCCTCTCTCCTCTTTCCATCCTACAGCCCAGGGAGCAGGGTAAACTTGGGAGTGTGAGGGAGGACAAAAGGCAGCAAAGACAAGGTGATCAGAGTCCCCTTCAACCTTAGCCCCTCTCCATAATCACCCAGAGGACTCAGTCATCCCTCTGGGCTGGTAAGCTGTCCATGTTCGGGGAAGTAACCACCACAGCATCCAGGAAGCTGCAGTGGGCGGAGGGCGTGAGAAGGGAAGATTCCCTGCATCCTGCTGCTGGTTTCCGCAGGTGCAGCCCCATCTGTTAAGTGAGGTGATGTCACAGGCTTCCTGGAGTTCACCTGTCTCTTAAAGAGCCTTTCCAGATTTCCCCAAGAACAGGAAACCTTGGGCGCAACTTGGAGAGTGCCTGCTTCGACCAGCGGCAGCAGTGTGACACTTCACCACAAGCAGTCCATTCAAAGCCCACTGATAGCCACATGCCACTTCAGCAAGCCCTCCAATCACAGACCCCACTCAACAGCCACGTGACACCTCACCGTAAGCCCTCCAATCACAGACCCCGCTCGACGGTACTTACCCTTTCTAACTTCTCATCAAGCCTTCACATCAAAGCTCAGGGAAGAGTCGTCCTGGGAGACACACCCTTCTCTCCCAAGTCCCTTTCCAGCCACTGCAGCAGAAAGCAAACTCCCTCTCCTTCTCACCACCGCCATGAAAATCACAAGCAGCAACAGCTCCTAAAAGCACCTAATGGCGTAATGAAATCACCCAGGGCAACACACGTCCAGCCTCCTGCCGGCACCTGCTCTCGCCCAGCCTGGCCTTTATTCCACACATGTCTGGTCCCACTTCAGCCCTTTGTTTAACTATTCTGGAGGAATATAGCACCTCATACCTCTAAAGCACGGAACAAACCAGATTTTCATTTCCTAGGAGATTGTCATCAAGTAGGTCAGGCTCATTACCTCTATTTTAACTGTGGAAGCAAAGAGAAGTAAATACAGGGACCAAGGTCACCCTCACCTAACACAGAACAGGGACTAAGATGGATGAACTTCTATCAGATCCCCTCCACTCCAACACGCACAGCAGATGACATGACCTTCGCACACGCACAGCGTGAGGAAGCAATGGCGTAGGACGTCCATGTGGTCTTGTAGGAGTTTTGGTGCTGCACTATTTTAATTTTTTGAACAAGGTCTTAGTACTCCATGACTTCCTTTAAAATTAAGATATAATTCAAATACCATGAAATTTATCCTTTCAAAGTATACAATTCAGCGGTTTTTAAAATATTCACAAAGTTATGCAACCATCACCGCTCTAATTCCAGAACATTTTCGTCAGCCCAAAAAGAAACCCTGTACCCATTGGCAGCCCAAGACTTTTTTTTGAAAGGAACGTGTTCTGCTCCAGGGTTCTAGGAGTGGTGGTACCAAGGAAGAACGGGTGCAGAGGGAGTACTGACTAAATGCTCCCATGGAGAGGTGGGCTCAGAGCATAGACTCTCTGGCCTGGGCTTCCCGGCCAGCCCTCTGAACCTCTCTCTGGGTTACTCATGCCCACCTCTATTGACAGTGATATCCTGATTCTGCCCAGATAGGCCTCATCATAGAGGGCAAAGGGAGAATGAAGGAGGGCACCATGCCTGCCAGTGAAGGTGCCTGTCATTTTTTAGATTCAAAATAATTATGAAATGATAGCTTCTTCCTAGGCTTTTTTCCCTCTGCTGGCAGAATCTGACATGGGCAAGCTGAAATACTAAACCAGGGAACTTATTTACTTCTGCTATATCTGGCCTGGGTCAGCTAATGAAAAAACGACACAGGACATAGTAAATGTCTTGTGAATTTCATCGTGATGTGCATGAGATCAGAGCTTGGAACATCAGTGCAATCATGGCAGTCTGGATGTCAGCAGAATATCTCAAGAAGAGGAAGTACTCAGAAATTTCTTCACTAATGCAAGTCTCTCCTGAGACTCCCAAGGAACAAATATGGGAGGTGATAGAATGGTTAGTAGTCCAAGGCCTTCTGAGGGCTATGGCTGAGGCTCAGACAGAGCCTTTCCCACCGTGTACTGAATAAAACAAGTGCCAGCAGGAGCCTGTGCAGTCATCGCAAGATTCCACAGGTGGCATGAGCACCACAGCCACCATTGCACCGTGGGACAGAGACTGCCCTGACTTTGAGCATGTTCATTCTTCCCCTCTACAAACCTCACATCTCTCAGCCCCTCCCCAAATTCTGGGACTGCCTGGAATACACAGAAACCAGGGTGCCATTTATTCTCGCATACAACACAGATTTTTGGAGCACACTATATTCGCCACCTTCAGCATATTGTGCTACGTGATCCCTACTCTCAAGGAGCTTTTGATCTAGTGAGAAACTGAAGACATAGCCATGAATAAGTACTCTAAACAGTACCAGCTGTGCTGAGTGAGAGGGAGGAACTTGGCTGGGCATAAACTCATGGGAAGGGATAAAATAGGAAGACACGTTGGGAGGCAATTCCAGATGAAGAGAACAGTGTGTGCAGAGGAACAGCAGAATGATGCACGTCTGCAGGACCGCGGGAGGTCTGGTGACGCTGCAGGGCGGAGGATGTAGGGAGGAGGAATGGAGGACTGAGGCCAAAAACCCAGACTGGTGTCAGTAGTGAAAGCCACTTTAAGGAGATTAGAGCTAAGGGAAAGTCACCCATGGTTTCATTAAGCAGAAGAGTGAGGGGCAGCCCCGGTGGCCTAGCGGTTAAGTTCAGCACACTCTGCTTCCACAGCCCAGGTTCAGTTCCCAGGTGCGGGCCTATACTGCTTGTCTGTCAGTGGCCGTGTCATGGTGGCAGCTTACATACGAAAAGAGGAAGATTTGCAGCGGATGTTAGCTCAGGGCAAATCTTCGTCAGGAAAAAAAAGGCAGAGGAGCAAACAAAGCCATGATTTACAAAGACTAAGAAGACTGAGAAAGAGTAGCAGATAGAGTAGACTCAATCACAGTCTCACTGTAACTCTGATCCCACATTCTGCAGTGACCAAAATACTGAAGTGGGACTCACGAGACCCAGATCTGGAGTAACCTTGAATGGCATGCCTAGCTTTTGAGTTTTCTCATCTGAATAAGGAAGAGATGTATAGATGAATTTCAAGATCCTTTGGTATCTTGACATTCCACGATTATAAGTCCAAAAGTGTGTGCTTCACAAGACCGCCTAGAAAGATGATCGTTTCCATGTCCCAAGCAAAGTCACGTCTTCTTTCAAGTCTAACCTGCACTCCACCTCTCCTTTCCCTCTGAGCACAGGGTGGAAAGGTTTGGGATGATTTGATGAGAGCCGTTAAGAGCCAGGCCCATCTTCAGACTGGACCTCAGGCTGGTGAGAAAGGCTCTCATTCATGCTGACACAGATGTGTGGTTTCTAAGAAAGAAAGAGCTTCCGCAAGCAATAGAGAACCAGGAAAACGGGACCTTGGGCAGGGACAGCCACACTCCAGAATAATCTGGGATGGGGAAAGGCAGAGAGCAGGAGAGTGAGATGAAATCACTTTAACTTAGCCTTAGTCATTGTTCTAATGTTAGCTTGTGTGCTGTGAGCTTATGGGACTGTCTTTTTGTGGGGTTAGCTTAGGACACCCAAAACTTGCTACAAAACTTCCTTTTCCAGGCATTGCAACTTCCTCATGTCACTCAAGTGCCCTGGTCCTTCTTTGGGCATCCTCTCATGCTGAGAGTCCCAGAGCTGAGCTACTAAGACAACACATCATACCAGGATCAGAATTTCCCCAAAAGACAACTTCACTGAGGATCAGATCCCTGATGCCCTCTTTCAAAGAATTTGGCAATTTAAAGTCAAATATGGATCTGAACTGGGGAAATTCTCAAAGGTCCTTTAATTCACTGAATAATTTAGAGTGGCTTACAGCAGTCCTGGCATTCTGGGCCCCTTTTTTCTCCTGGAAAGGCTGAGTTTCAAGCTGAATCCAGCTGAGCATTAATGAGGTTGCTCAGGTGGTGAGGTCAAGCCAGGAGGAAGCATTAACTTGTCAAGTCTTAGCCTCATGTTGAGGGCACCTGATGAATGACCCTGCCGTCTTTCAAGGTTGAGGGTGACACTCCCTGATGGCCATTACTGGCTATTAGAAGACCTTGCTTAGATCAGGATTTGCAAACTTGCTATTAATCTTAGAAACCCTTCCTTTAAACCAAATCTTATATGGCTTCTGAGGAGGTTTCCCAGAGCAGAGTTAGAAAAGAGCTGAATCAATTGGAAGACAAATAAAATGCATAACTGCAAAATTCCCTGCTGTTAGGGGATTGTGGCGGGAGGTGGGGAGGTGTCTAAGGGTTAGTAGTGTTGCTTGGTCGTTTTTCAAGTCTGTTAAGTGTGGCATTGTGAATAACCTCGTATTATTGATGAAAGAATTACAAGGAAAAGGGAACATCTCTAAAAATAGAATCTAGCCACCCTTGTACCCTATGCTATCTCAGCTGTCTTTCTGAGTTTCCCTCTGTGATGAGGATGAAGCTCAGAACTTTAGTAGATAAGCCAACTGTCCCAAACGAAGAATAACGAATGGGCGGTGTCCACCAGTGACTATCAATAAAGTTACCAAAGGTAGGCCTGTGATAGAACTACCCTCTTTTCTTCCACTCTTTTTTACTTTCCTTCCCTCCTTCCTAATTTCAGAGTTCGAAAGATATTGATGGTAGGCCTACTTTCCCACATGGTTTCATTATGGTCTTCCCACCGAAACTATTAACAATGGCATTAACTTTCAGCCCCTTTGTAAGAAAATAACCTGCTTAAGTCAGGGGTTAATAACAGTAGAGCATCACTAATTATCCTGCAAATCTTTACCCTGGTATCAAACGTGACTTAAGTCTTTAATGCCTCTGGAACGTCAGCCTCTAAAGACCCTGACTTGTTCCATAAACATAATGACAGCAGCACATTAGTGTCCTGGCCATCTGTGACGAAAGATGAGGGACAGATGAAAAGCAGACAAAGGAGAAGAATGCAGAGAGCAAGGACAAAGTCAAGGAAAGTGAAGAGAGGAGAGTAGCCAAAGAAACGAGGTCCCTTGGGTTGAGTTGGCTGGGCCTCCACACCTCTCGCCACGGGGACCATCCGGCATGGAGTTCTGAAGTGGTACAGTCCCAAATCCCAGAGTGAGAGCCATATAAAACAAGACACTCTGATGGGCCTGAATTCAACCAGCACAGATGCCAGGAACACCAATGGTTTGCTTGAAGTTTGTGTCTATCTATGCTGGGCTGAGCGAACAACAAAATGGGAGCTAGCACAGCCAGGAAATTCTTTAGTGAAGATGTTCAGAGTCCAACTGGGAGTGGAACTGCCATGATGGCTCTTCTATTTAGCTCACTGTCTGCTGCTCCTATCTTCTCATTCTCAGTCCTCTGCCTCCAAACACGCTTGAGCAGCAGGCACAGAACCATGTGAGCAAAAGCTTTATAGCAAAATGGCTTAAAGTTTCAAGAATCTCTCACCCAACAGAAGCACAGGAGGTTCTTTTTTCAAGTAACTAGAACCTTCTTGACTTGCTGAGATTTGAAATAGAAATTTCCGCTTATGACCAGGAGAAAGATAATTGAATTTCTATTTCCCTTGCTTGGTGATATTTGCTCTCAATTTCAAAAACAAGAGAGCCTCAAAACATTAATGATCCAATGATGAGAAATGGAATAGCAGGTTAAAGGCAGCATTGGATGCGGAGCTGGGGAACTAAGGCTCTGTAAACTCTCTGGAGCTCACTTTTCTCATGTTCAAATGATGGAACTAGAAGGTCTCTAAGGACTCCCCAGCTCTAACCATAGTATTTAATGACACAAAACCACACAAGACACTTGGCTCTAGTTAGACCCCAAATCAGATATAGGCTGGTATATTTTTGCATGCCAAGTGGAAAAAAGTCTCTGAGTTTTTCAAATCAGACTTCTCCTCCTGGAGTTTGGACTGCTTCCAGCTCAGTCCAGCCTATCAATTTATAGAGTAAGGATTGACTGTATTTAAACTCATGATAGTGACCTATGGAAACACCAATCAGTGGTCCCCAATAAGAAATCATCCACATATAGATGCTTCCAAATGGTTTCCAATGAGTTACGTACCTTTGATCAACTATGTTTGCATGGACAAGGGTAGTCTAGATAAGAAAATTTCATCTGATCTCCCTCTGCAGCCCCACCATATCGCTTTATAGACCTATACTCTAAAAATCAGAAATATAACTTTCTTTACTGTTGCCCACCCACCCACTTCTATTTTTCCAGAAGGAGTTGAAAATGGACTAAAATGAATCAACACAGAAAGCAGGAGTGATGTGAGAGAAGAAATAAGGACCCTCAATGGTCCATGGCATGTTGTCTCCGAGAGCAGGCGAGGGCAGGAACTGTGGAAAGCAGAGGGTGGCTTTTTAAACCAGACTTGGCAGAAAGCAGCAAAGCTTTCTATGGCTATGCTAGAAGTAGGTCACTCTATGCTACTCTGTGCTGGCATGAATAGCAATCGAGCAAATACACGAACATTCTATTTACCTAGCCATGGAGATGAAAACATTCCTGTGGGGGAAAAATGCAGCCAAAAGGTTCTGACACAACCAGAGGGATGAGGAGGCATTCAAATGGCTTATGATTTCATCCAGAACGGTTTGCTTGTTCCTAACACAGTGTTTCTCTGGATCTTTTCAAACCTCTGCAAAGAGTTTATCCACATGATACTCATTAAAGTCTCATTTGAAAGGGAAAAAAATAAGCCCAAAGTTCTTTGAAAAAGGCAGGGTTATCTGAGCCACAGATGTACTGGTAAGAAAATTTTTAAATACATCTACTTCTATTCTCCACTGCCACCCGACTGACCTTTGTAAATTGAGATAACGGCACGCATTTAACAAAATCTGACATCAAGTAAGATGTGTAATAATATTTAAACTCTGTAATGTTAAAATATGTATTTACGGATCATTTCATACATTGTAATGAGAATAAGTCATTTTGAAGCCTGCAGTTTCACGACTGGAATTCTGATTTGAGCTTTGCAAGTCCTTTGGGGCCGCGTCCCTGCAGTGTGGCATTGGAAACAAGCTGGACGCCTGGATTTGGGGAAGCGGGGGCACTGGTTACAGGCTGATTTCAGGGAGACTGCCTGCTACACCCAGTGAGAGCTCTGCTAGTTCTGAATCCTCTCTCCTGTACTCTAGTCTTTCTTTAACAAAGAGTTTAGTATTTGCTCTAATTCACTGATTCTGAACTATTTCACTGAGGTCCCCTCTATGGCTCTCACCTTATAAAATGGATACTGATAATGACAAAATATCATCTGTAAATGACTTACGAAAGGAGAATAGTCCACTGCTTGTCCTAAACTGTCTTGATTCATCTCCATTTCTAATTAGTTCTCATCCACTTGTATTTCTGTTCTTATCTTCTATGATTCAACTCAACAAGTAATGATGTACCTATTATGCACTGGCTCTGCTAAGAAGCCCTTTCAACATCCACGAGCTAACTTAATCCTCAATGACCCTTTTATGTGGGTATTCATATGCCCATTTTACAGATAAGGAGTTCCGAAAAAGTCAACCTACTTGACCAAGTTCACCAGGGAGTAAATACTAAATTTAGAATAAAATCCTAAGTCTCCTGGCTTCAAGCCCACTGTTCCTTTCCACTATTTCAACTCCCATTCTCTCACTTTGCAAATCTCAACCCCAGAGTAATAGTGCTTAGCAGTATGTGGCATATAATGAACAACAATCAACATCAATACCATCAACATCATTATTAATGCTGTTTGTTGTTGTCATTATTAGTACCACTCACATAAATTCGAAAACTGAGCAATAATCCTCAACCAAGTTAAGCAAACAGTACCTTTAAATGACTCCAGCTGCTTAAGAGTCTTTGTAAGTCCAGGAACCATAAGTCCAGGAAACTCCTCAGTTCTGGCAAGGAACCTCAGCCAAGTCATACTGGTCCATTTCTCTAAGGCTCATTTGCAAACTGAATACTCTTTAGATAGCTCTGATAAAACTCCACTTATACCTTCTTTGCTTTAAGATCCAGCCACAAGGGCTTTCACAGAGGGATGCCATGCTATCCGTGCCCATTCAAAGCTGGCACGCAAGGTCAGCTTCAGTGAGCTTGCTGTCAGGCACTTAGCAAGGTGCTCATGAATTAAAATGGGCAGTTTCTCCCAGAGGGACGCGGGAATGATGACTGGTCAAGGAAGAGGGAAGGAGCCAGTGGAGATGGTGTGCAAACAACAGCTGAGCTTCCTTCAGCAGTAAACTGAGTCCTTTTCTGCAGACTAGTCTGTGTAAGTGCTTGTTATCATAAATGCCAAGAAGTATTGTACTCAAGTGGAAGCTTCCATTCTCATCTTCACCTCGGGGAACGAGGCTTTCCACCCCATTCCTACAGACCCGTGAGCTCACCTTGCTGACCACGAGCATCGCCTTCTTATACACACACAGCTGGGGAGCCCAAAGCTCAGTGCGCCAGGCATTTCTCTAGGCTCTTCTCTCTAAATGATTCCCTCCTATAGAACGGGGGTCTAAGGATATGTATATCAAGCTGTCACGTCGTACACTTTAAATTATAAAATTATATTTGTCAATTATGCCTCAATAAAGTTAAAAAAAAATAAAAGGGGGTCTAAGTGAACTCTAAAGCCTCTTCTCCCTCTAAATTCTCTGATTTTACTTTTTCATCTTCCTGTGATCTGCAATTGTCATACTCAGGGCTGAACCTTAGGTTCCTACAAAGTGAAGATGAGAGATGGTGATAATCTTAGTTATCTCTGTTATGTTATTGAGCTTGAGAGAGGGGAGTGAAGAGGGAATTCTAAAAAGACTCAAGCAAGTGAAAAATTCCTTATTATATTCCCTGTTATTACAGCTTGCAAGGGCCTTTCTCATAAAGTGCCCTCCCTATTCATTCATCAATCCTGTGTCGTAGGTTTTACAGAATTAGAATCAGAAGGCCAGAGGGGAAGTGACATCTCCAGGGTTAGAGCTAATGAGACGGACATAACAGGGCTCAAATCCAGCCTTCCGACTCCTAGCACAGTGCTCTTTCTACCAAACTGTGCTGTCTAACAAAGCAATGTTTATTTATACTGAGAAATCATGAACCACTGTGCTTGTATTTCAGCTTAATGAATTGGATATACAGAAGATATACATCAACAGTAAACACTGTCAGGAGTTTGAAGAGTTTGGGCTTATAGACCTGGGAATGAAATTGAGTTATTAACCAATTCACACTAGCGCACAAATCAGATGGCAATCTGATATGGTTTCCCTGTGACAGACTCTCCTGGAGGATCGGATCCGCTTCTAAAGACTCTCTTGACATTGCCTTGGGCCCATTTCTGCAATCTTGTTTGTGTAAGTGCTCATGGCAAAAGGGGTCAAAGTGACCTCTAAATGACCTGACAGATACCCCCATGGAAATGTGCATCTAGCCATCTAGTCCCTGCATGATAATGATTTAAAAGGAATACAAGGTCATCTGATTGCTAAAATGTGTTGCTGCTCAGCTGGGAATAGCATACATTGACAGTACCAATTGCTAACATCTTTCCACTTTTCTCCTCTCTTTCTTTATTATAGCTCTCTCTCTCTCTATTCTTAATTCCAAAGCCCTCCCTCCTCTACAGGCCCTCCACACAAAACACCCATTAAGGGGCTGGCAGCCAGAAATGGGAGCCATGCATTCTTCATGAAAGGTGTATTTTGGAAAACAGATGAAGTCTGTTCACCATTTTGCACTCATCAGTAGCCCATTCCTCACGCCTACTTTGTTCTTTGACCCCTTCATTGTGCTGGTCACTGCTCTGTGATGTGTGTCTGAATCTGTGTGTTTATATTATCATATACACTTCATGTTGCCAGGGATGTCTTCCTCTTTTTCTCATCTCTCTTTACAAGAGTTTAAATTCATGCCATGCACAGGCCTAGGCTAGAGTTCATAAAGTGCTTTGTGTTGTGATGGTCAGGCTGAATCTAACAAGAATGAAGAAGGACAATTGATAATTCTTACTATTTTTCAGAACTAATTTTTATTGAGCACTAACTATGTGGTAGGTAATGGGCTAACCTCATACATTCTCATCAAGCTACTTGACAGCCTATCTTATCCTAGGACTAAGAAAGTGAGGCTCAACGAGATTAGGTAACTGGTCATATGACTTTGGCATTGTGACTCTAGAAAAGGAACACATTCTTTCTGAAGTCTCTTTCCACTTGCCAGTTAGTTAAGTGATAAGTCCAGTGAGAGATCACCAATATGCAGGCCAACAAATAGACTTCAATTCTTGCCACCATTGACCAAAGAAGAGGCTGTAGACACACTGAGGTGAGAGGATAAGTGAGGCAGTGTACCCCTTGGTATCTTCTGCCATGGCCATGAGAATGGAGAGTGGTGACACATGAAGTGGGACCTGATAATCTGTCTATATATTCTCTCCCTTTGACCTTGATCAAGAGTAGAAAGGCACTGTATGGGTGCATGGACAAACACTGGTCCCCAAACACATACTGTCTATTAATTCAATATAGAATAATGGCTAATGTTTATGAAGTATTTACAATATGACAGGCTCTAAGGGCTTTTGAATATATTAACTCAACTCATCTTCACAGCCACTATATGAGGTGGGTAACAATTACATGAGGGTTGAGGTACAGAAAAGTTAAGTAACACGCCTAGCATCATACATTTAGCCAGTGGAGGAGACTGGGTTCAAACAGGATGTCTCACTCCAGAGTATGGGTTCTAAACCGCTATGCTTCCCTGACTCTTCCCTGTGGGCATCCTAATATATAGTCCCTGTCATAAGACTAATTTCTAATCAACCTACTTGTTCACTATGTATTCTGTTCCCCTTTTCTCTTGACTTTCTGCCATAGCCTTGTTACTATTCTCATATCTTAACTGGCATTACATTTCTTCTGGAGTTTAATTTTTAATTTTCAGCAATGCTCCACATATATTTCCACTGCAGTGTGATCCCCCCGCCATGGATAGTTTTCCTTCTTAGCTGATCCTGTCACACCTTACCACTCTCAAAAATAAGGAAACTAACAGGTGGAGGTGGCATTGCCATTTCCATTCCTGACTTAGTAGCACTGGCTCATTAATTAGAGGCTGTAACTGAAACAATGTTGGTTGATTTTTGCAAAATGAAAAAAAGTGCTGGGTTTTCTGCTTCTAAAGTGTAAGAGCACACTCTAAAGGAATAGAGCCAAAAGTTTCATAATCAAGCCATTAGATGGTGAACACAGTGATGATAACCAGAATGAGGGGACTATTAGATTTAAGTCAGGACACAAAGAGAGGAACTCAGGGACAGCTGATAGCTTCTTTACCTAGTCCTCATTCTGTGGCCAAAAAGGCAGAGGGCTGGGAGGCAATTCTGGGTCAGGGGCTTATATTCTCTCTGACCTCAGTCTGAAAGCTGAGGTCCATCTGAGCTTCTTAGCAACTATGTCCTTTTCATTCATGAAATTTTCAGCATCTTTTTTGTTTTGTTCACTGCATCTATATTTTCTGATTGTACCACACCCTGGGAAATAGGTTCCACATGAATAATACCTTCTGGGTGAAGTGCTTCTTCCTTTCATTTGCCCTAAACTCACTTTCCTTGGATTTCAAATACAGTTTTGAATCCTAGCACTTGAGCATTTGGTGAACAAGGTCACATACATTTCACATGATAAATATGGATCACATTCCTCTCCAGTCTTTGTCTTTATCAGCAGACTCTTCAAATTTCTTTCATCCATATTTGCTGTGGTGACTACTATGTGTCAGGCTTTTTATTCTGCCTTCACAGAACCACAGCTACTTCCTACTGACCATTACAGCTGCCTTTCTGTGCACTTTCTCTGGGCTCACTAAATGCGTTCCCTAGAGTGGAGTAATGCAGCACGGCAGAAATAGGGAGGATTCTAATATTGGAAAACCGAAGTCTGAGACATGGCTTCTGCACCTAATACCTCTGAAATCCTTATGTCTCAGTTTCTCCATCTTTCAAAAAAATGGAAATAACATAAACAGGGTTGTTGAAGTGAAAATGCATATGGAAATGCTTTGAAATATGAGAAATATGAGTTGTAGTTATTGTTAATATTAATACAATCATTAGAGATTAGTGACAAGAATAACTGACTTTATTCCTGGTAAGAAATCAATATAATTCTACATAAGTGTAGAGTACTGGTGTGCTTCCACACCCTTCAGGATGACACGGGTCCCCTTTTTTAGCCAGGATAGCATATTGGGTCAATGTCTTCAGAGAATGATTTTAATGAACTCTAGGATATTTTCCTGAATCATTGATGATATAACAGAGAGCCTTTTATTTTATAACTATAGCTTAAGCCTTTATCTAGGATGGCATTACCTTGAAGCTGATGACATGAAAATTGCCTCCATCTCTTCTGTCTTCTAACATAGATTCTAATGATCTTCTTGCAATCCTGTCTCCACTAACTTGACTTTTTAGTATATAAAGTTTAGCATCATCTAAATCATGTATAAAAACTGTTAATTATACTGTTTTCATAAGTGAGGCTCCATGCCCAACAAATATGGTGGTAACTTGCAATTAAAAAAAAAAAGTTTTAAAGCTAGAACCTGCCAAAGCTTTTTGAAAATCTAAGTAGATCCTTTCGATCAGCATGTATGTTGCACCCCTGCAGAACAGTGATCATTCACATGATTTTTCTTTATAGACTCCCACTATTACCATGTCTCTCTACTAACACTGGACCCACCTCTTACACTCGCACTAGGTTCAATTTGTGTTAAAGTATTAACAGACCTCATCCATCATCATCAACTTGGGTGGTTTGCCCCCAGTAAGGGCTCAGAGTCCTTACAAATGGGGATGGTCTGCCAGATCGGGCTGAAATAGACACTTCAACTCTACCTTCCCCGACTTCATCTCTGAAATCCATCAGGATGCATGAGCGTCTCTTCTGCAGCACCAGTAATTTATTCTTGTTACCTGGTTTGGGGTATTCCTAGTCCTCACTATTATTAGTTTTAGTACTTAAATTTCACGAAGTAGCATGCTTGCTGGAATTTCACAAATTCTTCACTAAAAACTGAGAAAATTCATTCCATGAGTTACTTTTCTCATTTTTCCCCTCCGTAATCATGGGAGAATTTGGGGGATTTCTGACTGGCACTTCTTTTTGTTGTGTGGGGATTTCTTATGCCCCTGATGGTTACAAAAATCTATTTGTGGTCAATTAATTTCTATTTAACATGCATTATTTCATACATAGTCATTGAAGAACCTATTAGAGTTTTCTAAGTCTTTGCTTTATTTTTGTTTAATTTTGATACTTAAAATGTTCCTTTGGCACAAAACGTATACTAAGTAGCTTTTCTTTCTTTGCTAGAGGTTTCTTCAATTATGTCATAGATACTTGATATCCCCCTTTGTGTTATCTTTGGTTTCATCAAGAGCCAGACCTGGATTTGGTGGGAAAAACTTTCTGGTATAAAGACAGCTTTTCTTTTTCTGGGCAAACCTTTCGACCTTAGGTGAGGGATCCCTAAACTGCAATAGAAACCCCTCACCACGTCCACTATCCTCACAGGAGAAAACCAGAAAGCTCCACTGACTGGCCTCTGAATGAGACAAATGGAGGGCGAAATATAGCCCATGCCGAGACAGAGGGCCAGTCATTAGGGGAGGGATGGGAGAAGGAAAGACGTTTCCCGTCTAGAGTTCTGAAGACTGTGCTACAGATGATAAAACTAAGATGAAGGGACTTTCAAAAGTAGCTGGCTCTGCCTCTTTAATTACCCTGTCTAGGAGGAGAGTCTGTCATCAGGGCTGGAGTCTGGTCTGTTCGGAAGATTGATGGGAGTAAGACACTTTTTCGTCCAATCTAGATTGCTTCAGTTTTACTGGAATTGAAGCAGGCCATAAACCTATCAGTGACTCAAGAAAATGGAAGCAATTAAGTCTGCAGGTGTGCATATTTGTCATATTAATGATGGATCTGTGTTAATATAAGTCGCAGAAGGCTTCCACATGGCACGTTTATGTCTGCTGGTTGGGAAACGACCTCGAGGGGGCACTGCCACTCCAGAATGCTGACGTCAGGCAGTCCGACCACTGGGAGACGTCTCCACAGCCTCAGGAAACTGTGCCCCTCCATCCCAGCACTGGCTTAGGATGCTCTCCCCTCACGGTTCCAATTCCAATCAGATTAGTTCATAGATGCTAAATTTGACTCGGGTGAAGAAAATGGAGGTAAAGATACCATGTTAGATGTGGAAGGAGTATAATTTGCAAGCATGATTTTGGAGTCAGACAGATTGAGTCTGAATACCAACCTTTCCACTTAGTACTGGTTTATCTTGAACAAGCCCAATAAGGATTATGATATGTACTTTACAAAGCTGTTGTGTGCAGGGAACGAAATAATACGTGTAAACCTCTTAATACGCTGTCTGGTAGCTACAGTCACTTTAATGATTTCTCCTTTTCTGACCTTGAAAATATTTTAGCTCCTAGAATTAATTTTCAGTCATTCCTCAAAGGCTGCCAGACTACTTCAGGCTGAGGAACAGTACAGGATGGTTTCTGAAAAGACGAGCAGGCCAGTACCCTGAGCATGCCGATCCTAGGGCTTGCCCATGTTCCTTCCAGAAGAAGCTGCTCCTCCTCCCCAGCCCCTTCCTCAGGCTCTTCTTTGCACTTGACTCCCTCGGGGTGGGCACCTCCCTCAAGGGCAGCCTGTCTGTAGATTGGGCAGTGACCCATGATGTGGCTTGGCACAAGAAGATGAGCTAATCAGATTCTCACTCTTAGGAATTTGAAATGGGGAATATGGAAGAAATCAGGCATAAATCAGCAGAAGCAGAGCTCAGAGAGATGCATAGTAAAAGCACAGATGGGAGTCTGGGCCGTAAGAGCCACTTCAAGCTAGAGAGATGAGGAAATAGAAAAAACACGAGCCAGCAAAGCTCTGAGGTAGAGAAAAGACATCAGGCATAGAGGAAATGCTAGGCAAGATGGCAGGGGAAGAGAAGGAGCAGATGCGCGGCAGGAGATGAGATGCGGTGAGGCACATTAATGCAGGACAACACAGGGAAGACCCCGAAGCCCTCAAGGGAGCCCCAAGAGCCGTCCTGGATCCAGTTCACCTGCCTTGTGGCCCGGCAGGAGCATGGCTCCCATGCCTTCATTCCTGCAAGTTCACTGCCTCCTGCTGACATACGGGAGTCCTTGCAAGGATTCCCCATCATGGAGTAACTTGAGTCAGCCCCTGTGCCTTGCAATCAAAGGAGCCTACCCACTGAGATGTGGACACCCTTCAGAGGATCAGCGATGCTCAGAGAACTCTGAACTCTGGCCCCTTACGACCTGGCCTTGATCATGGCATCCAGCACAGGCCTTCTCTGATGGTCTGTCACAGCTTACAGAGGAAGATTTTATTTTTTTAATTTCCCCAGAACAACAGGTAAAAATATATCACTCCATATGAGAGAAGTCATAACATAAAACAATGTTAGTTTAGACAGTGAAAGAGTAAACAGGACCCAGGTTTCTTGAGAATCGTGTCTTTTCAAAGTCTAGGTATAGCCCTGAAGTCTCTCTGTAATTTTTCTTCCATCTGCAAAATGGGAGTTGGCATAGCATGAATACTGTCAAACCACAATACACAGCATCTGTAAGGTCGTGAAACACACAGGCAGATAATGATGCTGGAAGGTAATGCATTCTCCTTTATTATAAAAGAAGAGATTTTCCTTTGCCAACCCACATAACTTAACAGTCAGCAATAATGAGAAAGAAAACAAAAAAATCTCTGTACATGACAGCTAAAATCAGAATTTGATAAAATATTCTACTTCTAACGGGATACTGGCAGGTAAAAAAAAATCAATTTAAGTAGAAAAAAATCTGGTTTGTTTATTAGTTTTGCTCCTAATGCCACCAAATGGACCTCAATCTGAAATGGCTTTTGAAATCAAATTTTGAAATCAAATCCAGTTCTGCAACTTACTCTTTATGCTAATTTGTCTGCACCTGCAGGGACAAAGAAACTGGCAGCATTGAACATGAGATCCAGGAAGAAAAAGCAACACAAAGATTCAGGAAATGAAACCAGGACTAAATCATATTAGGTGTATAAAGGTTGGACTTCTTATAAAACAAGGAAAGAGTGGATTGAATGTCTGAGAGAATATTCTGAATGTAAAAATGACAGACTGTTGGTGAAGGAGCTGGTGTCTTTCCCAGGACCCAGAAGAATGACAGCATGGGCTATGGGGCAATTTGTAAGGCCAAGTATTGGGACCAAGCTAGATCTCTCCCAGGCTTCACATCCCATAATCATGGGGGTTTATATAAAAATGTCTAAAGGAATTTCACCCTTTAGGAATTTCACTTCTAGGAGTTGGGATTAATTCTCCCTTCCCATTTAAGTCTCTTTATGTATGGCTCTATTTTGAAAGAAGTATCATAATTTTAGGAAAACACTCAGCCACCATTTCCCCATTGTGTTCCATTTTCTGGGCCCTCAAACACTTCTCTTCTTCTGCTTCCCTGCTGCTACCTCATCAGGCGCATTCTGAAGGGGGCTGGAGACGGAATTGAGTATCCCAGCCACCATAAAACCTAAGCACACAGTCTCACAAAGAAACTTAGAGATACTGTCCTCATTTTACAGATGTCCAATCCTTCAACAGAATAAACTCCACATCCCCCATTTAAAATGTAACAAAAGCTCAGAGAGTTAAGCATTTTGCCCAAGGTCACACGGAGCATTAGCTCTTAAGAAATCCAAGGAAAGAATCTCAGACTAAGGTTCTTTCTGTTATATTGCCTCTCAAAATCCAGAAAAAATTGAAAATATAATTTTTATATTCCAAGATGCTTCGACTTTGAATATTTTCTTTATTGCTCCATCCAGTATATTTAATTTTAGACTCTCTGCACCATATAAAGTGCTGTCAAAATTCAAGTTCTGTCAACAGCCGGTAACTGTTGTGGTCCAACGAATGCTGTGAATGTTATGTGTTTAATGCTCAAGCAAAAATGTCAATTTTCACCTTGGCGTTATTAGACCTAGGGAAAAAAAATCAATTTGGCCCATAAGATGTTCAACAGCCACTCTCCTACGTCCTTCCTTTTCCCCTCCTAAGCATATCTCTGTTCCTCCATTTTTTGTCCCATCACCAGGTATAAAAGAATACAGGCATCGCACATCTCAACAAAGACTTTACAGAAAATTAGATAAAAAGGGAATCAATTTTTTTATCCAATGCTTGATTATCATTAGACCAGCAGTCTTATTTCCTTTAGACCAAAAATAGTTTCTTGTAGAAATAAAGTCACTTTTATGGTTAGTAATTGCATCCAATGCATTTCTGTAGCAAATGACACAAACTCATTTATGAAGTAACTCCTTTTCGTTAATTGAGGAAGAAAGTCTGTGTATCCCCCATATTTGTGAATATAAAGAGATGGAAAAGAAGAGGTTAACTGACTTTCTCTAAATCACACCACGAAACAAATTAGAGTTAGAGTTCACAGCTCCTGCCTCTTCTGTCCAATTTGTTATTGGAGTCACAGAGGAATGTCTTTCAGTGAAACTTCTTGAGATTTTATGTACCTAATTCTGTTCTGTTTCCCTAGGGAGGAAGTGTAGTGAAGGGGAAAGAGAATGGACTTTAGAATCAGACAGACGTGGTTAGACTCCCAACTCTGACATTTGCTGGTCACACGAGCCCAGGCAACTTACATAACCTCGGAGCCTCTGTGTCTTCATTTGTAAAATGTAGATAATAACACATACTTCAAAGGGTATGTGAGGATTAAATGAGACTGGGTATGAAATGTACAGCAGGTACTCAATACATGTATGCAAACTTCTTGTCTGTATTTTTTTTCCTGGACAATTAAAATATAACTGGGCCACAAGAGAGAGATGACATATTAGAAATTGGAGACCCATCCTCACATATTTCCCAATAGCTTGTGAATTCTAACATTTCAACTTGAATTTAGATAAATTTTGTAGAGAAAATGCACTGATGGTACTAGTGAGAATGCTAGTGCCTTCTCACTGGGCAGCATGGATTAGGGAAAATGTGAACTGGAAAAAGGAAAACCAAGGATCTCTTGACTCGGCCACTAGTGGGCTGTGTGAACTTTCATTCATTCATTCATGCATTCATTTATTTCTTTAAAAAGTATTTTACTGCATCCCAACTTCATGCCAAATACTAAAGGTTACAAATATGAATGAGCCTGCCCATAAGGAGTTTACATTCTAGAATGGGCAGGGAAAAAACAAACAAACAACAACTAGGAATGCAATGAAGGGGCTGTGAGAGATGTGTACACAGGACAGAGTGAGCGTGTAAGGAAAGATTAGCCAATTCTTCCAAAGGAGAGACCATCAGGAAGGTTTCAAAAGAGAGATGATATTTGCACTAAGTATAAGGTAAGAGTGGTTATCCAAGCACAGTGTGTGTGACAAGGGGAAGACACACTCGTCTTACTCTTGGCTATGATGTGAAGCCATGTAATAATAGTAAGGCACATCCTAGGCCATCAAGATGGCGCGTGGCAGGCTGTACAAAGCTGAAGAGCTCACTGGAGGCCAGATTACAGAAGACTCTGTGTGCCATGCTTAAGAGTTTGAACTTTACTCTCCAGCAAAAGGGAGTAAAAGACAAGACCTGATTTGTGCTTTTAGAAAGGTACCTGTGGAATGTAAGACCAGAAGGGCTGAGATCAAAGACAAAGGGGAGATCAACTACTAAGTGTCAAGTTAAGAGGGGTAAAGGGTTTGCCCTATGGAAAGGAGATGACAGGAAGGGCAGAGGAGAAATAGAAAGGGAAGAATTAACAGAGTGAGCCATTCCTTGGACGTGGGGATGAGGGGAAGGGAAGATGTGTGGATAACCTTGGAAGGCTGACGTGAGGTTTGCGCCATTCACCCATAGAGGAAACACAGGATGGGAGCAGCTGTGAGTGAGAAAGCGGAAGTTCGATAGGCTGAGTTTGAATTACATGTTGTACCTCCAGGTAGAAACATCCCATAGATCTGTAAATGGACATGTCAGAAGCACATGGAACACAGCAAAACTCTCACGTATCGTCACGTACAAGTTATGGCAAATTGAAGTCATGGGAATGGATGAATTCACCTCCGAGTGAGCATTGTGTAAGGTTAGGGGCCAGGGATGATACCAGGGACAACACTATCCTTTCAGGCATAGGCTTCTCTGGGCCTCAGTTTCCTGTTCTATCAAGTGAGAAGAATGGGCTTTGTGCTTTCTTAGGTGACTTTCTCTTCTACAATGTCTCATTTCGTGCTTTTATACTCGGCTCAGACTTTCACTTACAAACGGCTCTCTTTTCTTTCTTCCACCTTTGTTATTTTTGGAAAAGGTTGTTTGAAGCTTAAGCTCCTGTGAAGTGGCCCCTTGATCTTCCTGTCATGAGGACATGCATGCAAAGAGTACAGCAGGGAGACTCCACAGAAGAAGAAAAGGCAAGCGAGAATCAGGGCAGGTCTCAGCTCCAGGACGTGGCCCTTCTCACGCCTTCAAAGAAGCCACAAGAGCATGGAGTTCCCTCCCACTCCTCAGTTGTTCAGGGTAGGTGTTTTTGATACAAGCCAGAAGAGTAACACTGGCACTTTGCATTAAATCTCCTGGCTTCCCCTCCATACTCTCCCTTCTTACACTGCCACTATAGTTTCTGCCTAAGGTACTGGTACCTCATTACTTGCTAGTTGATTTAAAAATTATTAGTACCATAAAGTTTTCATTGGCCATATCCTCGTTTATAATTTTGCCCACTCTTCCTCTTATCAATGCACAGTATTTTCTATTTTTCTACATCCCGCCTGCATAAGGCACATGTAGATGTTCTCTGCAGAAAATACACCCAAATTCCTATTAAACCCAAGATAAAGAGGAGAAAATTCAATTTATTTTTTGTATACTGCCCGTTTCTCATTAGCCTTGACTTCTTAAGCCCTTGGGTTATGGGCCAGTGCTTATTTTCATGGCTGAATTACTAGATTTTATTACATTTGTACTGAGAGGCAAGATAGTCTCATTTATATCTGGAGAAATAGGTTTAGTGACCTGGTGACAACAACTGGCCATGGATCAGTATATTTTCCTTATTATGTGAGCCCAGGGCCATATGTTTTTGGTTGTCCAGGCAGAGTGTAAAATGTGCTGCTCATCACATACAAACTCAACAATCGTGCTCCATCGCCCTCTTTCTGGCACCACCCAGCATCAGGAGATGACAGCCCTCAGGATTTTCTATAATTCTTGTAGGAAGTCTGAGGGTCCAAAAGCATCATTCTTCTCTCTATGCTAAATCAGGTCAGGTGCCATTGAGAAAAAAAATGCTTCATCTCATCTTTAAAAATAAAAACATCGTTTTTAGGTATTGGAAATTAAGAATTCCAAGTGTAAAGTCAGAGGTGAATGAAAATATAGCAACTAGGGTTTTCCCCGGTATAAACTGCGACTAGGCATTAGGTTACTAATCCCTGGGATAAAATACTTTCCTCTTGCAAAGGCCCATTACATATCAGGAAAGCAATAGAAGAGTTCTTTTCTCCCTTGTTTTTTATGGAACTCTTTCCCAAATCCTCATTTGTCACGATGGTCTCCTAAGTGGACAACTCTCAGCAATAACCACCTGGGGTCAGGATATCAAGATTACAAATTAAACAGAGAACTATAATGGCATCTTAACACCACCTGGAGCAAACCTCTGCAGGAAGCTCTTCTGCACCTCTGGGCTCCAGACCAACGAGGGCCTGTGGTCTCTAGGGGGAGATGCTCCACATCCTCTGGCAAATCCTATTCCACAGCATGCTTATCCTGCCTTACTAAGATTTTTTCCTTAGCGCAAATGCTCCCTTGCTGTCATTTAAATCTGTTCTTTTTAGCTTTGTCTTCTGTGGAGATGGAAAGTAACCACTTGGGAGCCCCTCGTAATATCTGCAAATGCACGACCACTGCGCTCTGCAGCCCCAAATGCCTTTGACTGCAAAGCCCAGCGCTGCTCCACTTCACAGGAGGAAGCTAAGTTCGCGTAGTCATACTTCTGAAACTCCAGCAGGGGTGAACCGTGGGAGGGGGTCACAATTTCCACTTAGGAAGAAAGAAAGGCAAATGACTGCACTGACCAAGGATAAGACAACCATCTAGTTATGCTTCACCACAATCCAAGACCCTACATGTCTCCACTAAAGATAGAGGCTGTCATGTGAGCTCCCAGGGTTTATGCGACTTCTCAACCAAAGAGCATGTCCCTCTCAAAATAAAAATCTCCAGGGTGGTACATTCTGAGTCCAATTCCTGTTTTCATAACTCAAACCTATTATTCTAATCCCAACCTATCTATAGGAAAGGTGAACTCCGATAACTGCCTTGCTTTCCACTTTAAGGTTTTTCACCTCTTCACTTTTCCTTTCAAATTCTTTCCATTTCAGAGGGAAAGCTATTCTGTTTCTTCCCAAAGTTCAACCCCTCTACCTAGGCCCTTCATCTTCTTCCTCACTTGCTCTCTCTCAGGATGTTGCTCTATTACCCTATCTCTTTTACCTTCAATCTGTCTTTCCAGTATTTCTTCCTCCTTGGTCTAAAATAATACTAAAAGTCATTCTCACCTCCATCTGCTCCAAAAGAAACTTTGCACCTTGATTTTGACTTTTCTTACCGCCTTTTTTCCTTTTCATTAATTGCTAACCCTTCAAAAGTGGAGCCTACAAATTCATTTTCTTCACTCATTTTCCCATTTACTTTTTAAGCTGCTAACTTCTGGATTCTTCCCCAAATGATATGGGGTGTGAGCAGAAGAGTTCTAACTGGGCCAAGATCCTCTTGGAAACATGGCTGGGATACAGCAGTCAATGTCGAATAGATGAAGGCATCAACACAGGAAAGGGATGGAGTAGCAGAGGCTATGTATAAGGAATGACCCTTCTGGAATGACTGGTACTAATCCATGCCAGGCACTGTTAGGTGTCACAAATACTTGTCTCATCTGATCACAGGTGACTTTCGTTCTTAATTCAGTTCTCCTCCTAACCATCTAAATGATACTGAACAAGCCAATTACCTTTTGCTGGACCCTAGTTTCTTATCTATAAAACACAGTGATTGGACTAAAAGATTTCTCATGTTCCTTGACACCTAAAAGATATGAAAGAAAAGCATTTGGTTGTATATGTTGGAGTAGAACTTAGAGATGAAATAGTCCTGGGTTTCTAAGGCATCTTTTTTTAAACCTGACAGCAAGACTTGTATTAGATTTTTCTTCCCGTTTATCAAACTTATTAAGTGGATAACATTTTTTTTTTTCTCTTTTTATTCAAAGACATATATGACTGAGGCTGTAGGACCCAGTGACAAGATCACAGTTTTTAAGGCCAGGCTGTATGAATTTGAATCTGAGTTAGCCACTTAATAGCCACACGACCCTGGCCAGGCTACTTAACTGATCTGAGCCTCAGATTCCTCATCTACAAAATGCAGCTAAAGCAGTAAAATATACCTGCAAAATCCCTGCCTCCCAGGATTGTTGTGAGAGGTGATTGAGATAAAGAGCCTGGTTCACACAATGGTTGGCACAGAGAGGCATGGAATAAACAGGAGTTTGCCCGGTTTGCTCTTTCTTCAACAGCAAGGACAGAGTTTCTATCAGGTTCATCACAAATATTGCAAATACCTCATAGACACACTTTATTCTCTCAGTGGCTCCTAGGTGGGCTGGTGTCTTTCATGGGAAATGACTGACCTACCGGAAACCCCTCATTATTTGATGAAATAACCGAGTTTGGCCACCTGCCCAAGTTCATGGTGTTAGTGGTAACATCACAATCAGCAACCAGGGGGTTTGCTATTCATGCGGTTCTTAGTCAAGCCCTTCCCAAAGCTCCTTGGGGCGAGCTACACAGCTGCTTTTGTGTTCCTCAGAAATGGAATATTTTTTCAAACTCTATCATTATGATCTGACACAAAGATTCCCCCCCGCCTCCGCTTCTCCTAGTGTTCTTCTTTCCTCTTTCTCGTCTCTCTAGTGGTATCTTCTCCATAGTATCATGGATCCATTCAACCAACTCTTTTTCTCCACCTTTAGCTTTTTTCTCATATAAACTATTTTTAGACATAAATACAACTTTTCAAGAAGGGGGAAAAAATAGCCATAACTCTAAAACTAAACAGTCAAATAAATCAAACAACAACAGCATCCACAATTAACTTTAAATATATACCTGTGGTGGATAAAGAATTATTCCCCAAAAAAGCTCCTCTTAGAATTTAACTTGCAGACACTGGAATCCATCTAGATGCTCAGAACTAGGAGAAGGGATGGATAAATGATGGTATGGACATATGATGAAATACCACGTAATACTAAACGCCATTAACCATCACATGTTTCAAAGAACATTTAATGACATGGCAAATCACAATATAAGGTCAAATAATTTTTTAAACTTTTTTTTTTACTTGTGTAAAATGCGAGCTCAGTTTTCTAAAAAGAAATTTTATATTAATAGGAAATTGGCAAAATATGCAACTAATGTTTATAGTTCATCTCTGGAGAGTGGGGTCATAAGTGATTCTAAATTTCTTCTTTATATTTTTTGTGTGTTTTTCCTAATGCTTCTATGATCAATAAATAGTTTTTAATGAAAAGAAAATAATAGTTTTTATTTCGACACCATAAATTGTTAGGTATCTTCCATGGTAACTAATATTCATACTCTGGGTATTGTGTTTGTGAAACTGCCAAAGCTATTTGCATGGGCATAGACTATTACAGCTAGAGAGAACAGGAAAATGGCATCTATTCTCAAACCATATATTTTTTAACAGCAAACTCTTTCTTCAAAAGAAATCTTAAAGAGACGCTTATTATGTCAACAAAGATAAAAGAAGAGTGGTCCTCATCCCAGCAGGGATAATGGGCCCAGAGTCCCATCATCCCCATCTTCCCGCCCTCCTGGTGGCAGCTGAAGCACGTTAGTGAAATCCCTAGGACTCTGGGAAGCATAATTTGTAACGATCCTGATTTGGTACAACCTCTCCACGTCACAGATGAAGAATCAGGCACCAAGAGTGGCAATGACTTGCATAAAGTCATCAGACTTCCTGACCAGAGTGAAACAGAAAACCCCAATTTTCAGACTCCTAAGCTGGTTGCATTATAAACTTGCCTAAAAGTGGAAAGCATCAGTCAGTGATGTTCTTGGGATCCAAGACTATAACAGGACCTGTGATGCTGACCATGAAGAGTTAGCCATCCTCAGCAGTGCGCTCAGCAAGCCATATGTGCAATTCTGCCCATTCAGCAAGAACCCGAACATTATTTATTATTTGGAGGTGACCATGGCCTCTTTTACAACCTTCATACTCTGTGAATCTCCTCTAATCCCCACCTCCACCCTCAGGCTGACTAGGTTTACAGGAAATAGTAGTAAATCCTTTCCCCTCATTGCAATGAATCAATGTCCCTGTAGTCTGCTAGTCCTCAACTGTGTTTCACACAGAGCCACCTTTTGGATGGAAGCATAAAATCCCACATCTTGCTGAAGCCATTCAGAGAGCCCAAGGTGCTCATGGAAGCTGGGGAGTGTTAATCCCCGCTTGCGAGGCCGGTTCCTACTCTGGTAATTACATTTTGCCTCAAAAAAAGTGTCCCTGCTGCTGCTGTTAGATGCGGTCTTCATTTTCACCTCACCGAGAGCAGTCTGGAGTAAGGTCTCTCTGAGGGTGGCTCGCTGACCCTGGAGGCGGCTTCGTTCAAGGCATGGCTGCATTTCAGCACCAGCTGAACTGGGCTCTCCATCCTGGGGTTTGCTGAGCTGTTTGCAAAGAGCTTTGGATTGAAGAAGTCGTATACCTGGAAGATATTATTATCACCTCATCTTTTTCTATCTTCAACTCCGGTAATAGCAGTGAGGAACCAACCTCGTGTGCCTCAGAGTTTCAGTTTAGCACAAGCCTAAAGGCTTGGATTTTGAAAATATGTCTGAACCCCTCAGATGTGACAGAATTGGACTAGAGATCTACTTAAGCACCTAAGGAGAATGGAAGCTTCCGACTGCTACACGTGGAGATGCCTGCCTGCTGCTTCTGCCTCCTCCGAGAAGCCAAGACAAACTTGGATTATGTGGATGGCTCCATCACCAGAGTTGAATAATACTCACTCCTAAGTGTCCTGATATTCCCCCCACTTCACAAGAGGGGAGATGAGCTTAGGAACCAGGCCAATAAGCCAAAGACACAGAGAGGGTGGAACAGCGATGGCATTCCCCACATGCCTGATGGGACACTTTGCTGAATGTAGCACGTGTCACCATCAGTAAAAATCAAGCAGGCAGGACATTCACAGGGAAAAATACATGTTTTTTGGAGTTATCAACAAACCAAGAGATGCTACTTTAATTTTCCTGAAAAACCCTTCACTCTATTGATACTATACTACTTTAAAAGTTATTTCAAACATTTCTATTTTAAAATGTAACATGCTCATTCTAAGAAGTCAAACACTCCAGAAGTTTTTGAAGCAAGACTTCACCCCCTCTCCTGGAAGTAAGTGCTATTAAAGTTGGAAATATATCTTTGCATAACCTTCTCCAAGCTCATGCAAATACATACAAACGCATGTGGAGTTTTTCTTCCCTTTCTCCTTTCCTCTTTTTTTCCTTCCTCAACAAAACAGGGTAATAAAAACATGAAAATGCTTCCAATAAGGTTTAGAAAACAGTACTACTCATTTGATATGAAGTATTTCACCTGGCCCAGAGTCAGAACTAGCCACATTCCTGCATGTGTTTCTTCTGCCTCTCCCCCTGCCACACTCCCCTCCCCTTTATGGGAAGGACAATGGGCAGATACATCCGCAGTGAACAAGGTCGAGAGGATAGTGATTTTTCTTGGTTTACTAACTAGCCACAGTCAAAAGCAGAGGAGGTTACCCAGGAGCCCACACCCTAATCTCATCAATGTGGAGGCATGGAACTCCCTGATCTCTGAGATTTGTCTGATGCCAAGAATCTTCCTGCTCAGTGGGAAGCTCACACCACAGAGTGGTCCTTGAAGGCCCCAGGAGAGTTTCTAGATTGTTTCTGAATGAGACCGGATTTGACCCTTCCAATAACAAAAGCTCCTATGGGGGGACGTTAAAGCCATTTGTTACCATTTGGTTAATGTATTAATCTTGGATCCATAGCTATGAAGGGAAGGAGAGGGAGAAAGAGAGAGAGAGAAGCACCATAGGGACACGATACCCTGAAAAATGTTTGAGACAAATAAGATCAACAAGTACAAGTACTCCTCAATTCTCAGAGTCCAGTTGACAAAACACTTAGAAATCTTATCTGATGCCCCCAGGATACACCTACCTACACACTTGTACCACGCTCTCTCACACACACTCACTACTCACACATAGACACGTACATGAAGGGTTGTTGTACCTTTGTTCTCACTCACTCTGGCCTCCTCCCTGCCCTGCAGCCCAAGGGCCTGCTCTCCACCTGCATATCACACTCTCCCCAGCACCGTCAGCACTGGGCCTCTCGGGTGCTTCCACAACCCTACAAACCCCATCAAAATGGACCCTTAGAAAAGGGCTTGAAATCAGACACTAAAATAGAAATTAGAAGTCACTGAAAATGGTCACCTTTCCTAGAGTGTTATCAGTCAGTGGTTGAGTGAAGCTTTTACTTTGTTTAACAAAAATAGAACATCCTCTTCACTTCTGACACCAAAAACGCCAGTTGCCCATATATTTGTTTAGCCCTGCTCACACGAGCATAAATGTACACACTTGTAAAACACACACATACACACCCCCCTCAATCACCATCACCATCACCGATGCAATTTAATACAATATAACACAACACAAAGGCCCCAACAAGTAAGAAAATTATGACT